CCATTTTTATTTTACTCCATATGACAAGGACTATCAAAGGGGGGTGGCTTGGTTCTGGTCAGCCATAATCCCTTCACCATCCCAGCACATCCACTGGAGCCCTGCCCAGTTGCTATGCCAACCCTGATAATCCCAGACAGAAGACAATCAAAATCACAAAGAACCTGCATATGGGAGTGGATTCAGCATGGACTGAAACAAAGGACAGTAATAATCAGATCTCCCCTCTGGGGGCAGGAAACTGCAAACTCCCCTTTGTCTCCTGGAAGTGACTCATGGGCAGGGGGAAAGGAGGAATCAGCCAGGTGACAGGACACTCAGGTTACCACCACAACTCCTCCCTCAACCCCTCCTTTTTGTGATGTATGCATGATGTCAGCCCCTTCTGTAATGTATGCATGATGTCAACCCCTCCTTTCTGTAATGTATGCATGATGTTTCTGGGGGTGGGCTTGACCTGGAGGATGGGAATTTCAAAAGTTTTTATAAGGTCTGGCATACCATCTTTCTGGGTCTTTTCCTCTCTCCTGCAAGTGAGGGGAACACCCTGTTGCAACAGTTCAATAAAGGCCAAGCCTACAGGCTGCTGTTTTGCTCCAAGTTATCCTGGTTGGTGTCTTTGTTTTTGTCCAAGGGAGCCCTCAGATTTTTTCCGTTAACACTACGAAAACCCCCTTGGCTGCTCCTGTGTTGCTTCCAAGGCGACTTCACCAAGAACATACATTTATGGCTGAAATACAGACACCAAGCAGCAGGTGGGACAACACAGAATGGCCCCCCCAGCCATGTCTGGCCATGTCTCCCCCCTCCAGCCCCCCCGGGACCCCCTCTTGCTGGGACAGGGCTCTCTGCCCCCCAGCCCCCCCAGGGGCCCCCAAGAGAGACTCGCCCCCCCCGGAGAAGAGACACCCCCGGGTCCCCCATCTGGCCCCCCCAAGACCCCCCTCTCCCCCGCCCAGAAGCCCCTTCGCAGCCCCAGGCAGAGAGACGGGCTCCTCCTCCCGGACACGGGTTCCCCTTTCACACGCACACGAGCCCAGTCCCGGGTTCTGGGTCCTGCTTCTTTCCTGCCCCCCCCCGGAAGGGGCAGCTCTGCGCCTGCGCGACGCCCCGGGCTCCTCCGCGAGGAGAGAGAAGGGTTAAGGGGAGCCGAGCTGGCTTCCTAGAGAGGACAGGAAAGGAAAGTGGGCCGCTCCTCCTCCTCCTCCCCTCTGACGTCCCTTCCGGCCAGAGCGGCCTCGCCTTCGCCTGCCGGGCTCTGGTGGGTCTCCTCTCGGGGGAAGCCTGGGGAACTCCCTGCCCCGGGAGGCGGGAAGGGGAGGGAAGAGAGGCTGGGGGTCCGGGAGGGAGCCAGAGGGACCTCAGGCCCTGGCCAGGGAGGTGGGACTGGAAGACAGTGAGGAGGGAGAAGGACATTCGGAGGGACATAATTGTGAGGGAGAAGGATATTAAGAGGGACATTATTGTGAGGGAGAAGGATATTAAGAGGGGGATTATTATGAGGGAGAAGTATATTAAGAGGGACATTATTATGAGGGAGAAGGATATTAAGAGGGACATTATTATGAGGGAGAAGTATAGTAAGGGGGACATAATTGTGAGGGAGAAGGATATTAAGAGGGACATAATTGTGAGGGAGAAGGATATTAAGAGGGACATTATTATGAGGGAGAAGTATATTAAGAGGGACATAATTATGAGGGAGAAGTATATTAAGAGGAACATTATTATGAGGGAGAAGGATATTAAGAGGGGCATTATTATGAGAGAGAAGTATATTAAGAGGGACATTATTGTGAGGGAGAAGGATATTAAGAGGGACATTATTGTGAGGGAGAAGGATATTAAGAGGGACATTATTATGAGGGAGAAGGATATTAAGAGGGACATTATTATGAGGGAGAAGTATATTAAGAGGGACATTATTATGAGGGAGAAGGATATTAAGAGGGACATTATTATGAGGGAGAAGTATATTAAGAGGCACATAATTATGAGGGAGAAGTATATTAAGAGGGACATTATTATGAGGGAGAAGGATATTAAGAGGCACATAATTATGAGGGATAAGTATATTAAGAGGGACATAATTATGAAGGAGAAGTATATTAAGAGGGACATAATTATGAGGGAGAAGTATATTAAGAGGGACATAATTATGAAGGAGAAGTGTATTAAGAGGGACATTATTGTGAGGGAGAAGTATATTAAGAGGGACATTATTATGAGGGAGAAGTATATTAAGAGGGACATTATTATGAGGGAGAAGTATTAAGAGGGAAATACCATGAAGATGACGCTTCCCTTCTCTCTCTGTTAACAAATCTCTGTATGTCGGCCATTTCCCCTCCCTAATTCTTTATTTGACGGAAAGTCCAGTTTCCGAGGCGTCTTCCAGGGCAGTTCCACCCAGAGGGCCTTGCCACCGTCCCCTCGGATCCAGAGCAGGAAGTCCCCAAGGGACGGTGGCTGGAGCTAGACATGGGCCCTGCTGCTCACCAAGCCACCCAAGCAGATATGGCTGGGTTGGGGCGAAGCTCTGGACTATGAAGTGGGGTGGGGAGGGACCCCCACTGTTGCCTTGGCTCCAGATTACACTCACTTGTCATTCACAGTTATGACTTCCTCCTCCTCCTCCTCTCCCTACACTTGCTCAGGGAACATTCTTCTTCTCTTGGCTGTGCTTTGATCTTACAATAGAAGAATGTGTTTGATTCGTGGGATTTGTTGCACCTTGCAGTAGAACTTGGCAGAGGACAAAGGGGCTCCTTCCAATCTCTTGGAGACTTCCGGAGAGCCCAGATGGATGAGCAAGACTCAGCTGGCCCTGAAGCAGGAAGAGGCCATGCCATGGAAACTGAGAGCAATGGGGGATTCCATGAAGACTCCGTGCAGAAGATCCTGGGTGAGGAGGACACCCCTTGCTCAGAGGTGCAGAGCCAGGAGCTCAGGCAGTTCTGCTACCAGGAGGCCAAAGGACCTCGAGAGGTTTGCAGCCAATTCTACCATCTTGACCATCAGTGGCTGAAGCCAGAAAGGCACACGAAAGCTGAGATGCTGGACCTGGTGATCTTGGAGCAGTTCCTGGCTGTCCTTCCTCTGGAGATGGAGAACTGGGTGAGGGAATGCGGAGCGGAGACCAGTTCCCAGGCGGTGGCCCTGGCCGAAGGTTTCCTCCTGAGTCAGGCAGAGGAGAGGAAGCAGGCGGAGCAGCAGGTGAGAGAGACTTTCCTCTGGATACTCCCAAGGGGCTCCAAAGAGGAGGGAGAGTATTCCCAAATCATTTCCTAATGGCCCATCCTTTTTTGGAAAGCATATTATTATTATTATTATTATTTATGACACCCATGTGGCTGGGTGCCTTCCAGCACATGTAAAAGCATCAGAAGACATCAGATGTCTTCTAAAAGTTATGCATTTTCTTATCTCCTTCTCACCTGATGGGAGGGCATTCCCCAGGGTGGGGGCCACTGTGGAGAAGGTCTTCTGCCTGGTTCCCTGTAACTTCACTTATCACAGTGAGGGAATCAGCAGAAGACCCTCGGAACTGGACCTCAGTTCATGGAGACGCTCCTTTGGGTATACTGGGCCTTTGAGGCCAACACTTTGAATTGTGCTTGGAAACGTTCTGGGAGCCAGTGAAGATCCTTGAGGACCAATGTTTCATGGTCCTGGCAGCCAACCCCAGACACCAGTCTAGCAGAAGCAGGAAGCAGCTTTCACCTCTGTCCCCCGAAAGCGCTTGCCTCCGCCATTCCTTCTCTAACCCTTCTCCCCATTCTCTGTTTTGAATCCTTGTTGCTCTTTCAGAGGAAGGATCTTTTGGCAGAAATGGGTCTTGATTCTTCTGAGGCAGAGAAGACTCCGCTGGACGCCAGAGTGAGGCCTCTGGGTAAGGAGGAAGGAGTGTTTTCTCCCCCGTTTTGTCACATTCTCTTGGTTTTGAAACTAATCTGTGAGTTCTTTACATCTTTTGTGGGAAGACACCTGGAGCCCAGAGCTCGGGGGGGGGGAGAGATGTATTTTTGCACAACCAATATATGAAATGGGTACAAATGAGTCCAAATGTACTCAGCAGGGGAGACTTTTACTGCAGCTGGTTCAATTCCGCAGTTTATGAGCTCATCTCTTCCAGCAACGCCTGTACATTAGTCCAAATTGAGCTCTAATTGACAGGAGAACCTCTGCTTCTTAATGGCAGCGAACGAGGGTTTTTGGCAGACGAAGAGCTTTTGCACTCAGCGCCTCCCTGCCTCCCGCAATCCATGCCGGAGCCGGAGTCTGGTACCAAGACGAACTGGGAGTGAAGCCCGTTCCCCCCTGTCCCTGGGGGCAACTTGCAAGGAGAATTACCCTTAGTCATCCTTGTTTTTCCTTTGCCAACGATCTCCCGCTGCCTCCATTAAAGCAGAGCGGAACCGGAAGCTAGCAGGGGAGACTTGGACAAGCCCCATCTGTACTGAGAGATGCACTGTTTCACCTCTGAGAGAAGCAGGCGCTCACGGTTTCCACTTAACTTTGTCTCTCCCAGGTGACGGAATGATGCCACCAAGACCTGCTCCTTCATCTTTTCATGGTGGTGGAGGGGAGGCAGCAGCTGTGGACCCAGATCAGGTAGGGGGAAGGAGCCTTGTGGGGAAGGACTGCTTGGATGCAGACTGGCTGGATGCAGAGGAATGGTGGGAGGAGCCAGAGAAGAGGGAGCCGACTGGGAGGAGGAGGAGGTGTCTGAAGCTGGAGAGGGAAGAGGGCTCAGGGAGCAGAGGGAGTCTGTGGCAGAGAGCAGCCCAGACTCCGAGGCAGAAGCTGCAGCAGGAGAGAGGAGGGATGAGGAAGGCAGAGAGGGGTCTGGCCGCTGTAGAATACAACAGAGCCAAGTGAATGTTCTCTAAGAGGACAGCCTTTTTCCTGTTCTGTTAGGGTCCAGTGTGCTTTGAAGATGTAGCTGTCCATTTCACAGATGAGGAGTGGGCGTTGCTGGATCCTGACCAGAGAGCTCTCCATAAGGAAGTCATGGAGGAGAATCGTGGGATCTTGGACTCTCTCGGTAAGGCTCCCTATTGGATCATCCTATCTTTTTTGTAATTCAAGACATCTCTCTATGTGACGAACCTCTGATATTTCGATGGGGCTCAACAGCGCCACCCACAGCACCTGGGATGTTAACACTCCCACAGCAAACCTTGGATGGATGGCTATTGATTGTTTTCCCTGTGAATATTCTTCTTTCAGTTCTGCCGTTTAAAACCATGATCAGGCTGTCTGAACTGCCCAGGCCTTCTTAAATGTAGGATTCAGAGTGATTTTTGACCAAAGAGTTGCTTGACAGATTCCACGACTGAACCAAACAAACTCCATCCCAGAAAAGTGCCAGGCTTTTTGAATCTCTGGCAGTGAACCCTGTAGTAACAATAATGATAATTTTATTATTTTCACCCTGCCCATCTGACTGGGTGGCCCCAGCCACTCTGGGCAACTTCCAACAAATAGAAAAACATAATAAAACATCAAACATTAAAAACTTCCCAATACAGAGGTGCCTTCAGAAGTCCTCTAAAAGTTGCATAGTTATTTCCTTGACATCTGATGGGAGGGCGTTCCACAGGGTGGGTGCCCCTACCGAGAAGGCCCCCTGCCTCGTCCCCTGTAACTTCTCACAATAATGTAACATTTAAGTACAGTGGTACTTCGGGTGAAGAACTTAATTCGTTCTGGAGGTCTGTTCTTAACCTGAAACTGTTTTTAACCTGAAGCACCACTTTAGCTAATGGGGTCTCCTGCTGCCGCTGCGCTGCCAGAGCACGATTTCTGTTCTCATTCTGAAGCAAAGTTCTCTTGCGGGGGCCCAATTAGTGACATTGCCTTCCGTTAAGAGTTTGGGTGTAATCCTTGACGCCTCCCTTTCCATGGAGGCGCAAGTTACAGCAACAGCCAAGGCGACGTTTTTCCACCTTCGCCGCATCAAGCAGTTCGTCCCTTACCTTTCCTGCCCTGACCTGGCCACAGTGATCCATGCGACGGTCATCTCCAGGCTTGACTACTGTAATTCGCTCTACGCAGGGCTGCCCTTGAAGCTGTCCCAGAAACTCCAGCGGGTGCAGAATGCTGCAGCAAGGCTCCTCACGGGGTCTCTGCCTTGGGAGCATATTCATCCAGTGCTTTTCCAGCTGCACTGGCTCCCGGTGGAGTACAGGGTCAGATTTGAGGTGCTGGTTTTGACCTTTCAAACCCTTCACGGCCTAGGACCCTCGTACCTACGGGACCGTCTCTCCCGGTATGCCCCACGGAGAGCCTCAGGGTCCATAAATAGCAACACCCTAGAGGTCCCGGGCCCTAAGGAAGTTAGATTGGCTTCAACCAGAGGCAGGGCCTTTTCAGCTCTGGCTCCGGCCTGGTGGAACGCTCTGTCTCATGAGACCAGGGCCCTGCAGGATCTGATTTCTTTCCGCAGGGCCTGTAAGAGAGAGTTGTTCCGCCTGGCCTTTGGCTTGGAGCCAATTTGATTCCCTCCCTCCCTCTCTTTCTTTTTTCTTTTCCTTCTCCTAATGCAATGAGGCTACATTTTAATATTTTAATGTTTCAATATTTTAATGTTGTATTTTAATATTGTTTTGAAGTTGTAATTATTCAACTTGTTTTTATTATTGCTTGTAAGCCGCTCTGAGCCTGGCATTGGCTGGGGCGAGTGGGTATAAATAAAAATTACTATTATTGTTATTATTAACCCGAGGTACCATTTCTAGGTTAGCGGTGTCTGTAACCTGAAGCATATATAACCTGAGGTAGCACTGTAAGGAAACTTGAATAATAATAATAATAATAATAATAATACTGATATTACATGTTTCTGCTGCATTCTGTGATGTTGAGAATTTAAGAAAACATCCAAATTGGTTTAAGGTGATGCACATCATCATTAAATGTTTAGCCACTAAAGAAATTTAAATTTGGCAGCTGCTACACACATTTGTTCAATATACAAAATGTGTTTTTCAGCACACAGAAGTTCATTCCGCTACTCTTACATCACCCACCACGAGGCAGCTGACTATGACCAAGTCAGTCCAGAGTCAATATTCCCAAATATTTCTCCAGCTCTTAAAATTTGTTTAGATTTATTACTGCATATTGAACAACTTAGCATACTGAATACAGTCGTACCTCGGGTTAAGTACTTAATTAGTTCCGGAGGTCCGTTCTTCACCTGAAACTATTTTTAACCTGAAGCACCACTTTAGCTAATGGGGTCTCCTGCTGCCGCCGCGCTGCCAGGGTATGATTTCTGTTCTTATCCTGCACTTCTTCCCGAGACTCTAATCCGTTTGCCTCTTAGTTTCAGGTGGTGATGAATTGGAAATGAAGAACAAGGGAGACCACAACGAAATCCACAGAGTGGAGGAGCCAAATCAGGATTCAGATTGTGGAGAGAGCTTCAGTCAGAGCTCCCATTCCACTTCCCATCAAAGAAATCCCCTTGAGAAGAAACACTATCAGTGTTTGGAATGTGGAAAGAGCTTCACTCGGAGTGCCCATCTCACTTCCCATCGTAGAATTCATACAGGGGAGAAACCATATCACTGCTTGGAGTGTGGAAAGAGCTTCAGTCACAGCCACAATCTCACTTCTCATCGTAGAATTCATACAGGGGAGAAACCATATCACTGCTTGGAGTGTGGAAAGAGCTTCAGTCACAGCCACGATCTCACTTCCCATCGTAGAATTCATACAGGGGAGAAACCCTATCAGTGCGTGGAATGTGGAAAGAGCTTCAGTGATAGCTCCTCTCTCACCTCCCATCAAAGAATTCATACAGGGGAGAAACCCTTTCAGTGCTTGGAATGTGGAAAGAGCTTCAGTCACAGGTACAGTCTCACTGCCCACCGTAGAATTCATACAGGGGAGCAACCCTATCAGTGCCTGGAATGTGGAAAGAGCTTCAGTCAGGTCTCCCATCTCACTGCCCATCAAAGAATTCATACAGGGGAAAAACCGTATCAGTGCGTGGAATGTGGAAAGAGCTTCAATCGGAGTGCCCATCTCACTTCCCATCAAAGGATTCATACAGGGGAGAAACCCTATCACTGCTTGGAATGTGGAAAGAGTTTCAATCAGAGGGCAAAGCTGTCTTCTCATCAAAGGATTCATACAGGGGAGAAACCCTATCCGTGCGTGGAATGTGGAAAGAGTTTCAATCACAGGGCCAAGCTCACTTCCCATCAAAGGATTCATACAGGGGAGAAACCCTATCAGTGCGTGGAATGTGGAAAGAGCTTCAATCAGAGTGCCCATCTCACTTCCCATCAAAGGATCCATACAGGGGAGAAACCCTATCAGTGCGTGGAATGCGGAAAGAGCTTCAGTCAAAACCGCAGTTTCACGTCCCATCAAAGAATTCATACAGGGGAGAAACCATATCAGTGCGTGGAATGTGGAAAGAGCTTCAGTCATAGCCACAATCTCACTTCCCATCGTAGAATTCATACAGGGGAGAAACCATATCTCTGCTTGGAGTGTGGAAAGAGCTTCAGTCACAGCCACAATCTCACTTCCCATCGTAGAATTCATACAGGGGAGAAACCATATCTCTGCTTGGAGTGTGGAAAGAGCTTCAGTCACAGCCATGATCTCACTTCCCATCGTAGAATTCATACAGGGGAAAAACCCTATCAGTGCATGGAATGTGGAAAGAGCTTCAGTCAAAACCGCAGTTTCACTTCCCATCGTAGAATTCATACAGGGGAGAAACCCTTTCAGTGCGTGGAATGTGGAAAGAGCTTCAGTCACAGGTACAATCTCACTGCCCACCGTAGAATTCATACAGGGGAGCAACCATATCAGTGCATGGAATGTGGAAAGAGCTTCAGTCAGGGCTCCCATCTCACTGCCCATCAAAGAATTCATACAGGGGAAAAACCCTATCAGTGCCTGGAATGTGGAAAGAGCTTCATTAGAAAGCACAGTTTCACTTCACATCAAAGAATTCATACAGGGGAAAAACCCTATCAGTGCATGGAATGTGGAAAGAGCTTCAATCGGAGTGCCCATCTCACTTCCCATCAAAGGATTCATACAGGGGAGAAACCCTATCAGTGCTTGGAATGTGGAAAGAGCTTTAATCAGAGGGCCCATCTCACTTCCCATCAAAGGATTCATACAGGGGAGAGGGGGCCGCTAGGGGCTCATTGGAAGATGGCCGACAATACCATCTCTCCGTCTCACACGAGGAAATTAAGAGGCTGATATCGGAGTATGCAGCCTCCCTTGTTACCCCAAGGGAATGGGGAACACTGCCCTTGCCTGCGGTTGCCATAAATCACGCCCTGATCTGAAAGAAGGGGGTGAGGGCACTAGGCACACAGCCCTTGTGTGGCACGGCTCTCCCGGATGCTGTCTCTGATTGCACGCCTGGTTGCAGGAGCTCAAAATAAACAATTTGAAAGAATCAAATGCACATATTTTGAGCGAAGATCAGGAGTTAAGACTGCTAATTAAAGTGATCTCTGTGAAGTGGAGCGACGGGCTGGATTCAACAATAAATCAAGAAGAACATTCATCAAAGGATTGGTATGTGGGAGCGGGGCTGAAAAGGGGGGAGGAAAAAACTTTTCTTTTTTTATCTTATGTGAGTACCCAATAACCCTCCCCCCAAGAAAGAACCGTTGCAATTACTGATTACAAGCAGGATGATTAAGAACTGCGTGGAAATAAATTACTAATCAAAGACATGGCTAGTGGGAACATCGGGAAAGGAATGGAAGCTCTTTGTGACGCAGTTATAAAAAGAGATTTGTTACGGCAGGCCCGGCCACAGGAAGATCGAGGGGGAGGAGGACCATGGTTTGTTATTATATCGGACTGTGAGTTTGACCTGGCAGGGTCCCCTGAGAAAATTGAGGAAGACTGGCTGGCCTGTGGAAGTTAACGGACAGACTTTGGGAATGCTTTGTACGGAGGTGCGGAAATGGCGTCTGTCTTTCTTGATATGGCTCTTGGAGGAGTGCAAAATCCACACAGGATATAACAACGTTTGTTTTCAACCCGCTTGTGGAGACTATCAGAGATCACAAAAAGGAATATATGATAATAACAAGAAGAAGATGAGGAAAATAACAAAGTGAAGATTGAACAGAAATGTGAATACAGAACTGTGTACATTAAAGCAGCAGCAAGAGAGATGTTTGGATCCCTTTCTGAGCTCGAAGCATGGGTACCCCCAACAAAAAATTTAAAAATTTGGCTGTGTAATTTGGAATTAATGTGATTTGGAATTAATGTGATTTGATTGGCCTGTTAATAAAAATTATTTTTTTGTGGGGGGGGAAGGCTTCATACAGGGGAGAACCCTATCAGTGCGTGGAATATGGAAAGAGCTTCAGTCAAAACCGCAGTTTCACTTCCCATCAAAGAATTCATACAGGGGAGAACCCTATCAGTGCCTGGAATGTGGAAAGAGCTTCCGTCAAAGCAACAATCTCACTTCCCATTAGAGAATTCTTACAGGGCAGAAACCATTTAAATGCCAAGAGTGTGATCGGAGGGATTTATGAAAGTCTGGTCTCATTTTTAAAGTTCTTTTTAAAAATAGAATTGGAGCTCTTAAAGGTACTTAGAGCTGGCTGAAAAAGCTAAAATCAAGACAGGTTTTGACAAGTTTTTTTCTCTTTGAAGAAAAATATTTCTTCTCCTCTGAGCCACTTAAAGAGAATTGGATTCCTGCAAGACAACCACTCTTATCTGGACATCTAAATCTTGAACACATTCTTTTTTTCTTTTTTATGGTTCCTCTCAAAGTAATTATTTGGTTCATTTGTTTAATTCGAATCTTAATTTGATAAATTGGATTTTATGTTAAACAGCTTATGTGTGTTGAGTATCAAGGATGAGGGAGGGCTGGAAAAATGCAGGAAACAGGATCTCTTAGGAAAGATTTATTCTGTGACCTTGACAAACTGATAAGGTGCTGCTGGAAAACAGGCTGCTTTGAGAACAAGGGAGAGGGAGATTTTGAATATGGCAGTTCAAAAACAGTTAACACCAGGCCTGTGTTAAATTTGGAGAAGCTATTAGCCCGAATTGATAAAAATCATTAAATGGTGACAAATTTGACCACTAAAGTAGAGACACTGACAAAGAAAACAGAAGCACTAGATGTCTCCATGAAAGGAAGGGAGGTGAAGTCTGAAAAGCTGGAAAAGAAGACCAAAAATGGAAATCAGAACAGGAGACGCTTAGGATTGATGTGGACGGTTTGGGTGGAAGATAAGAGGCAATTGCGGGCGCATTGGCAGTCCTTGAGATGAGACAGAAAGCCCAGCCTCTGAGACGGAGAGGAGGGAGGAGAGCAGGATTTTAGCAAAGGTTAGAGCGGAGTGGCTGGGAGTGGAATTAGACCGGCTTGTGGAGTAAGGAGTGCTCTAGCCGGTGCCTAATGCCCCCTGAGAAACCCCAGTCATCACACCTGTCAAGCCCAATGGCTCAGTCCACATCTGCGCAGACTACAAATGTATCATCAACAAGGCCCGTACAGCTCATGCATAACCGGTGCCAATGGTCAGCCATGTCCTCACCACCCTGGCGGGGTCTAAGATTTTTGGCAAGCTGGCCCAGGCCCAGGCCTGGTTTGGATAGAAAACCAATGTGAATAAATCCCCCCAGTGCCACCCCCTGACCGGTCTTCCTGTCTCCCTCTCCCTGTGCTCCCACCCTGCCCCAATCAAAGTCCCAGCCAGCAGCTGCCCCCCAGGCCTTCCTCCGCCCATCTTGGGGCCTCAAGGCATGCGGGCAGAATTTGGTGGGGGGCCAGGCTGGGCTCAGAGGTCTGCTTTCCTCTCCTTACACTGGGAAGCTTGTCTACTAACTAATGGATAAAGGGTTGTTTGGAATACTAAGCCATCTCTACCCCCCACCCTGTTTTGAAATAAAGCCAATTTAAGAATTGGGGACACGGAGGAAGGAGAAAGTTATGTACTAAGCTTGGATCCTAGAACAATAGGTAAGAAGGATCCTAGAATGCAACAACTGATTGGCTTGCAGGAAAAGACCAATCAGGCTCCATGAGGTAGTTAATAAGCCTATTAGGCTGGTAGGATCCTAGAATGCAACAACTGATTGGCCTGCAGGAAACGACCAATCAGGCTCCAGGAGGGAAGCAGAATCAGCCAATCAGACGGGACTAATTCTGTAAATAATGTATATAACAGCCTGAGGTTTGGGGTGCAATTAAATCACTGTTTTACAAGCTGCAATAAAGAGCATGAAATCACAACAGGACTCCTGAGTAGATTTCAGAGAATCTAATGCATCTTTGGTTGGGATTGTCCAGCAAGGAGATTGGAGATGGTTGCCAGTCAAAGGGTAGTTTAAGACGTGGGGGGGGGGGGAAGAGCTCCTTGTGAAAGGGGGGCAGTTTTGGGAGACATTCCAGCCGTGGCATTGGCAGCCAGATGAGGAATCCTGGAAGAGGACACTCCAGGCTCATCTAGTCCAACCCCTGCAATTCAGGAACCCCGGTTCTTAGTCCCGCCAGCTCCCTTGAACTGGGCAACTCGGATGCCTGAAGCAGCGCCCCGTTGGAGAGCAGCCTTGGGTCGCCTCTGGAGCTGGCTGGACCTTTTGGACGGCTGTTTCCATCCCCGCTGCCTTCTGCTTGCAGGCCCGGTTGGGAGTTGTAGTCCAAAGCTTATTGAGGGGAGGTGGTTTTCAAGTTGGAACTATGTTTTGACCCTTTGCCAAAAGGAGATGCCACAAAGTGTGTGAGTGAGGGGGGGTGTCTTTTCAGTGCCAGGATACAAGGTGCTCTCTTGACCTGGGAGCCCAGTCCCTCTCCCCCACCCCTAGAAAAGGGGGTCTTCCCCTCATCCTCTCCTTGCAGAACCCCCTTTTCCTTCCTCTTTGCTCAGAGAGTCGGAACCAACTCTCTCTCAAGGGACCCTGGAGCCAAACACTTGAAGAGTTTTACTTCTCTGGGCCCCTGACCAACCACATGGCTGGATGGTCATTTCCACCATTCCAGAGGTGAGACCCTCCATCCCAACCAGGGAGGGTGTTGCTTTACTTGCCAACAAGCAGGACACACACGCCTCTTTGTTGGCATCAGGCTGCAATAAGCTCAGGGGAAGTGGCAGGTTTGGGCACCTAGGAGAATATCCTACACCCGCCCTAACTGTGGTTTAGCGGACGGACTAAGAGCCCTGGAGTGGGGAGACCTGGGCCCATTTGACCCCATGGCTAGGAGCTTTGGAGGGAGGTGGTGAAGATGGGGAGTGAGAGGAGCTGGTTCTGGGTGGAAACATCCACTCTGAAGAAAAGATCACCAGCTAGAAAAAGGAGTCTCTTTCCCTTTCATTATGAAAAATGTTGGTTGGAAGTGAAAAAGGACTTAGAAATTTGGTCAAATCTGAAGCTTTCCTTGTTGGGCCAAATTGCAGCTATAAAGATGAATGTATTGCCTAGAATGTTGTTTTTGTTTCAAACACTGCAAATTGTGGACAAGATGGACTGTTTCAAGAAGTGGCAGAAAGATATTTCTAAATTTGTCTGGCAGGGCAAGAAGCCCAGGATAAAATTTAAGATATTAACTGATGCAAAAGAAAGGGGTGGATTTGCCCTGCCAGATTTTAAACTTTATTATGAATCAGCAGCGTTTTGCTGGCTGAAAGACTGGCTGCTTCTTGAGAACACAGACATTTTGGATTTAGAAGGTTTTAATAACGTTTTTGGGTGGCATGCATATTTGTGGCATGACAAGGTTAAAGCACATAAAGCATTTAAAAATATTGTCAGGAGAGCTTTGTTTAATGTTTGGATTAGATACAAGGATTTATTGGAAAATAAAACCCCAAGGTGGTTGTCGCCAATGGAAGCGAAAGCTCAGAAAAAGCTCAATATGGAGGCCAAATGGCCGAAATATTGGGAGATTTTGGAACAAGAAGGAGATAGATTGAAACTGCAGAAT